TTGCTACATAAAACGATAACGCCGGCTTCACTCAGTTAACGCCGGACCGCTCCATGAGTGATTTAATGCTTTCGCATTAATATTGAAGTTGAGTTCCCGCGTCGCAAGCTGCCATTGTTTCTTAGCACCTCTTCACCACACAACACAACACCTGATACGAGAGCTGACACGAGAGCTGAGTGGTTTTGCGCGCACGCAAGGCAATTGCTGGTCGGGAGTGCGATTTTCGCAGGTTGTTCTACGGATGCACATTTTTTACTTGCAATTGACTCGCGTATGCAGTCACTGTTTACGACTGAAGACGCGCCGCGGTTTGCCGTGGCCGCTTACACTCGTCCCCCTTTTCGACTGTAACATAAAAGACAGCGGACATGGTAGGATTATAGGGAGTTTTCGAGGATCGCTTTCGTCATCGCGCAATGACCTCCGAAACCTGCTACGATACCTGGAACTCTAAAGTCAAGGCAATCGTCGTGCAGGCGCAGTAGAGGCTTCTTCGTTGATGAGGGCTTAGCGGAGGGGGAAACGCGGTCTATGAAAACTCCATGATGGAGAGTTTTCGTAGATAGTAAATGCCCTCCCGCAACGCTCTCCAAAACCCACTACGAGATCAGGGTTTCCTTAGTCATAGGCTAAAGACGCGCAGGCGCATTAGCGTTACCTTCGTTGCGGACAGCTTAGAGGAGGAACGAATGCGGTTTTCGAAAACTACCTGATCATACATGCCACCACTACATAGCGGGATCGTTGCACGCATTGTCGCTATGTCAGTGCTGCTCAATTCGAAACTTGATGCCTACAGCCTGGGCATCACCTGACGGGGACTTCACTTTTTTATTAAGGTCGCTAACGACAAGCCGAAGCCATGGCTTCTGGCGTTTTGAAAGAAAATGACCGACGGTAATTAAGAGCAGAAAGAACGAGGGATATTCTTTTGAACGACTACAGACTAGTTGCGATCGGGAACATGCCCAATAAATTTAATTGATTTTTTGGGAGTACGGTAATATATGGATGAATAAAGCATGTCACTGACACAGACAGGTCATATGCTGTCCGTGCGGATGCTCATATGGGTAAATAGGAAGTTCTGATTGTTTTATTTTCTAAACTAGGAGAATAGTTTTCTCGTGTTCACTGATTGCTAATTCGACACCGGCTCTGTTCAATTGCAGCGGTTCAATTCAGGCCTTTCGCAAACCAACTAAAGACTAACGAATTTAAGGTGCATGCCATTCATTCTGTTACGTTTATGTTACACCTATCCGAGCGAAAGTTGTAATTGTGCATTCATTTATGTCCAGTTGACCTGATTCACCTCTTGCCTGCACCTAAACCAGCGCAAAAAAAAAAAAAAAAATTTAAACATACTAATTTGGATACAACTCTGGCTCATGTCATGAAAGAAATAATATTTATGTGCCCGTATCGTGCGAGTTGCTAAAAGTACTTTCTTTTTTGTGCAGTGCGTACCATCAAATTGTGTCGTTTTTTGTGCAGAAACTCAAGCTCCTCTGTGCTCTCTCGGTGAAAGTGGTTGCCACGCAATAAGGCAGGCCAAAGGCTGTCTTTCATTGATGCTCAAGATCCTACGGACACGGATCAACGGCTCCTTTTTCTTCGCTTAAGGGTCCTGATTGAAGATAAATGAGCCTTGGGTCTATGCACGTCAGGTGACACATTAGCAATGAGTAAACCCCAGACCACTATCCTCCTACTTTAGGAAATAAAATAATCTGAATTTTCTACTCAGACTCATCAGAATTCGCACGAACAGCAGAATGACTTCATCTGCGGAGTGAATTGCTTCGTCGATCAATATAACACCGTACTGTGTCAAAAACAATTCTTGGGAAGACTTTTGACAACAATTAGCAGTGTTGTAGGCCAAAGCGTTACCGAAAAACTGTTACGAAACACGTTACTCGTTTCTTGCAAATAAAAGCAACGCGTTAATGACACACGTTACCTCAAAATAAAAGGAACGCATTACCGTTACCGTTACCGAAAAGATGTCACGCAGGTCACGTTTACGTTACTTTTTTAAATTATTAATTAAAACGTTTTACTCTTTTGACGCCACAGGTATGCATAAACGCAAAATATAAAGAACCGTTAAGTTTATGTAGATGGCGAACATAAATACATATTTTTACAGTTTCACCTAAGCACTGACAAAAAAGAGCCAACAAAGACGTAGAGAGCTCAAACATTCACATGACTTGGCGCTTAAAGATACGAAAACGAAAGGAAGTGGAATTGTTCGAGGCCTTGGGAAGAAGAATTAACGAGGTACGTAGCTGCGTTACACGTCACTTCAAAGAAGTAACCTAAGCACGTTAGCCGTTACTCTTTTGAAAAAGTAACGAGTACGTTACTACGTCACCGAAAAAAGTAACGCGTTCCCGCTAACGCCATTACTTGTAACGCGTTACCGCCAACACTGAACACAAGTCAGTGGTTGTTTGAGACAATACACCTCTCGTTTTAGAGCGCAGCTCTTAGGGGTCCGTTTCCAGCCTGAGCGGCGTCGGCGTCGGCGTTGGCGTCGGCGTCGCCGTCGGCGTCGGCGTAACCGGGGGGGGGGGGGGTCACGTGACCCCCCCCGAGACCACGTGACCCCCCCCCCCGAGGTCACGTGCCCCCCCCCCGAGACCACTCGACCCCCCCCCCCCCGAGGTCACGTGACCCCCCCCCCCCCCCCGAGGCCACGTGACCCCCCTCCGAGACCACGTGACCCCCCCCCCCCCCCCCCCCGAGGTCACGTGACCCCCCCCTCCCCCGAGATCACGTGACCCTCCCGGGGTCACGTGACTACCCGCAGGTGACCTGACCCCCCCTCAATACCCTTCCCTACTCCTCCTCACAAGAGCTGCGCTCCAATTCGGCGTTACAGGGATTTGTAAACGGCTTTCATTTTTTGTTCTGCCCTTCCTTACCGCCCCTGCCTTCCTTTCATAACGCCAGTAGGGAGCTCACTCTACCCTTAACACGTTTCCTGAACAGGAGAGGTTCCCGTCAGGTGATGGCGATGTCGTTAGGCATCAAGTATTGAAGTGAGGGTATCTGACATCGGTACAATGGGCGCAACGATCTTGCTATGCCGGTGGCGACACGTAAAAATATCTCACCAATCCCGCAGTTGTTTGCGTTACAGCGGAAAATAAATGCAAGAGGAAGCGCCTGCGGCACACCACCGCGCGTCTATAGCTGTAAGCAATGACCGAATGCGCAAGGCAATGTAAAAAATGCGCATGCGTAGAACACCCCGAAAATCACATTCCAGTCAAGCAAAAGCCACAGAGTTCTTGTGTCCGCTTTATTGTTAGGTGGCGTATTGCGCCTTGATGAGGCGCTAAGAAACAATGCCATGTTGCGACGAGGGACCTCCAGATCAACATTTTTTTCTCCCTTAAAACAAAAAACTACTAATTTTTAGAAATGAAATGCAGTAGACGCTGTTTCTTCATTTGTCATTGCTTTTTGTATGTTTACTTGGACCACCATAGGGTAAAATAAGCGGCTGTTTAGGCAGCAAAACAGACTTTTTCACAACTTCAGAATTTTTGTTAAGTATTTTGTTGTAGGCCATTAAATATGTTTCGTTTTTAATACATCTATAGGGCTTACAATATAAAGAGAGTTATAATTTTCAGGCGCATGTCAATCATTTAACAAAACATGAGACGGTGTAAAGTTTTCTGTATTTCGTGCATTCAAAAATATATTTAAAAAAAACGCAAAGTTATCAAATAATAGCATGCTCAATCCCGTTCAAATTACATACAATATATTGTAAAGTGTTTCTAAGAAAATTGAATTTTTACTAAATTATTGATTGATGCCCAGTTTTAAACTCATTTTAAAAGTTAAAAAAAGCTTGAAACTATTTTTGGGGAAAATATGGTATGATAAGTGTTATGTCCCTGAAGAGGATTAATTTTATTTCAAAAATATGCAATGGTTGAGCTAAACGTTGGGGACGCATGATCTGGAACGACCGATATAAGACAAAATGTTATGCAATAAAAGAATGTATTCACCATACTTGTAATTTCAGTAGAACGTACGTTTTAAAAGACATGAAGAAGAAACCCGTAAAATATATTTCACTTAGGAATCATATTTCAGGAACAAGAAAGTTACTTTGCTCGCTGCATTAACAAAGTTTCAAAATACGAACGTCATTTTGGTTAAATAAAAGGGTTGATAAAATAGGCTTGTCTTTACATTATTCCAAAATAAAAATAATAAATCGATCTGAAAAGAAAGTCAAATAGACTTTAAACGAACATGATTAAGTTCCTAAAGTTCGGCGATGGAATGTTAAGATTGTACTGCTACTTTTTATCTATGCTGCACACAATACAAAATTTCGTAACCTCTAGTCATCGCATTCACGGAAACTTCTTTTTTGTGCTTGTCACGTCTTTCCGGTGCGAGGTATAATTGATCTGGTACCAGGCTGAACCAAGAATATACCGCATTTGTACTCAAGGTTAGGGTGGGGTTCTTTTCCAACCTCACATTGAGCCGCTCCCCCCCCCCCCCTTTTTTTTTTTCTTCTTTTACTTATACGATTTGCTTGATTTGAATCTTTCTCACTATAGGGCGATGCGCTGTACCTAGGATGCCTTCCTATAAAAAGGGACAGAAGTGAGCCTAAGTCAGCAGTTGGACACACTTCAGCTCTTCATAAGGACCATGACTGGGGTGTGTTCTTTCCCTATGTTTATTCCTTCTGTTTCTATTTAACTTCAACAACGCGCTCGCGTCGAACTAAATATACCTTTCAGCATCTTCTTTTTGTTTAGAAAATCAAGAGTGGTGATTTTCATCTGACCACAGTGGTGCTTTGCATAGTAGTTGTATAACCTTACTACTCTTTAGCAACATGTACTCTCACGAACATCTACGTGCTACTATTGAAATATTCTACTTCTGTTAATTTTAAACAAACCTGGGATCTTGAATATTTTGTGTTTGCCTCTCCTTTCCAGTTCCGTGCCTGCCTTCTTTTGGCTCTGGCCACCACTGCCTTCGCTGGCTACACCGGCTTCGGCTACGGCGGCTTCGGCTACGGTGGCCTCGGCTACGGCGGTCTCGGCTTCGGCGGCCTCGGCTACTCCGGCCTCGGCTACGGCTACGGCCTTGGCTCCGGCTACGGTCTCGGCTATGGCTACGGCCTCGGCTACGGCCATGGTCTCGGCTATGGACACTCTGGCCTGACTGGCTACGCTGTCGCTGCTCCAGCTGTCACCAAGGTCTCTACTGTCCACCACGCCCCAGCTGTTGCCTCCTACGCCGTCGCCCCAGTTGCCACCTACGCTGCCGCCCCAGCTGTTACCAGGGTGTCTACCGTCCACCATGCCCCAGCCGTTGCCTCCTACGCCGTCGCTCCGGTCGCCACCTATGCTGCTGCCCCAGCTGTGACCAGAGTCTCTACTGTCCACCATGCCCCAGCTGTTGCCTCCTACGCCGTCGCCCCAGTCGCCACCTACGCCGCTGCCCCAGCTGTCGCCAAGGTTGCCACTACTTACCACGCTGCTCCAGCTGTCGCCAGCTACCAGACCTACCACGCTGCTCCAGCTGTAACCACCGTTGTTCACGCCCCAGCAGTCGGATACGGCTACGGCATTGGACACCTCGGATACGGCCTTGGACACTTCGGTTACGGACACGGCCTCGGCAGCTACGGCCTGAACTACGGCTATGGTCTTGGTTCCTACGGAGACTACGCTACCCTCCTCCGCAAGAAGAAGTGTAAGCTATTTTGTTGCTTCGTTCTTGCTCAGAGTTGGATTTATTGGCTCACTAATGCTTCTTGTAAGGAGAAGTCAGAAACCTTTCTTAAGAAAGTTGTTATTTGAGAGTTTCTTTACACTGAACAAATTATTGGGTTTGCTATACCTGCGCTACAAATGTGCTGTACTTGTGGTATAAATTGCGACTTAAGGGGAATTGGAACAGAGTCATCCCTGGCATTCACATCTTGATGTGGGCGTAAATACAAGAGGGAGCGATATAGCAAATGTTTTATTTAACGTAAACTACTCTCTATTTTCAGAAATCGTAAGACGAAAACAAGGATCCATAACGGGCAACGAGGAACAAGGCATCACCCTGCAGGCTTCGTTTCCTATGATGTTTCTTTGATAGAATGTGAGTTTCGAATAAATTATTTTCCCTGTCACATACATCATTTTGTTACTATTGTTTGACGTCCAGTATGACTAAATCTTAGTCAACTGCATGTCCAATTACTTCAAATTACGAAATAAGAGAAGAACAATTTGAAACTTAAAAAAAATGATTTTATATATTTTTTTTTTTTATAAAAAAAGGGGGGGGGGTTCAAGGGGTGTTGCAACGTGCAAAGCACATATTTACAAGTGAGGTTTGTAAGTGAGGGCATGGTCACTCGTGTTGCGCAGCAGGCAAGAATGATGCCGCAAATTAGACTGGTGTGCTGGGAATATCATGCGCAAATCGAAAGGAGTCAGACAACAGCACAGTGCAGTCGCCCACATTCTCAAGTCGCGCTGCACTGCGCACTCTCTCCCACTCTGTAGGATTGCAGGGTTGCTTTGACTTACAGTTAATAATCCGGTCACAAGGAAAAAGTGAGGAACCGCTCCAATATTTAATGTCGTTTCACCTCCTCTTCTATAATCATTAAGTGAGAACGGCAGGGCGTGTCTTTCACACGCACAAACTCCAGCATTCGACCATGCCTTCAGCTGTCCTTTGCGAACGCGCACTCGAGGTAGACGAGACGCTGAAGCGTTGTCAAAGGTAAGAAGAACGCGTTGGAGGCGGAAAAAATTAACTTCTCTCTTCCTCTCTCAGCTTGTCAGTGATTATATCCCCCATTACAAGAATTTGTGTTAAACAGCCATCTTCAAAAATTTAGCGCCACTTCTTTTTGCTGGTGTTTTAAACCGCAGCTCTTAGGCACCCGTTTAAGGGGTTCAGCGGCGTCGGCGTAACCGCGCGCGTTGCATTAGGGGAAAATTTCCCGTTAAATATAGCGGGAAAATATTCGTAAAATGTTTCCCCTAAATTTATCGGCAACGTTTTCGCTAAATTTCCGGGTAAATTTAGCGTGGAAATTATTACGCCAAAATTAGCGTGAAATAATTGCGCAAAATTTAGCAGGAAATTTTTCCGGTAAATTTAGCGGAGAAAGTAGGGAGTTCTAGAATAGCGCACGCTAAAGCTTTGTGTGCGCAAAGAATAGCGTCGTCGCTACTGCGTATGCGCCGAACTCTAACCATATTTTGCGCTTTGCGTGCGCTATTTTAGAGTGCGCTGTTTTAGCATGCGCTATTTTCGGAAATTGCGTGCGTACGCAAAGAGTCTTTGCACTCCTCCAAGGAGTATTCGTGATGAGAAGTTGGCTAAAGCCAAGACGAGCACTGTTAAAAAATGGCGGCTCCCAGCCAAGAACCACGTCTGCTGCCGCTTCGGCGAAGTGGTGAGCGCGACGTTAGCGGAATCCTCGAGACCGCAATCTTTGATGCGGGACGATATTGCACTCGGTTTGGCAACGATCAGCGGCAGCTTGATGCTTGCAACGCGCGATCATTTCTCGGCGAAGACAGCGATGGTCAGTACACGAGACCTCTCTTGCCGAGGCGACGCAAGCGGACACGACCGGTTGAGTGCTCGCGTCGCATTCTCATGTGTAAATAAATCTAAGATGTTACTCTGGACCAAAAACCTTTTTTTCTTCAAGTTACAGTATTTAGTGTGTGAAATAAAAATTTTGACTGTGTTTTGGTGGCGTTCCAAGCGCGAGAGGCTTCGACTTTTGCGTCGCGGCGGAGAAACGCTGTTCTAAAACTCGCGTGCGCTAACGCAATGGTTAAATTTAGCGTTTGCGTGCGCTAAAATTGCTTACGTTATTCTAAGACTGCCTAGTTTTCCGCTATATTTAACGGGTTAAGTGTCTCCGTTAAATTTAGCGGGGAAATTGATGTCACGCAACCTTAACACCACTTCAGCTTTCCCTCTAAATTTAGCGGGGCAAATAACCTCACGACTTTCTGTCACGTCACCCATGTACAAATTCAGCGGCAGGAGGAGAAAAGCCGGAAAGGAGGATATGGAGGGAAGGAGGAGGCACAGGAGGCGGAGGAGGAATGAGGAGGAGAGGAGGAGGGGAGGAAAAGAAGGGGAGAAGGAGGAGGGGAGCGTACGGAAGAAGAGGAGGGGCACGCCCCCCCCCCCCCCCCCCCTCCTTCGTGCCCTCCCCGCGTCCTCCTCAAAGGGTGCGTTCTGATTCGGCATTACAAAAAATTGTAAACTTTTTTTTTTATTGTCACATTGTCAGCACTAATACACTAGCGGTGTCTGGGAGGGACAGCAAAGGAACGGATTATAAATGGCACCAACAATTCGTGCGCATAAAAGTGTTCCAATCCGGTTCAACTTCGCTTCCAAAGGCATAAAGGCTGGACCGTAAAGAAGACGCCTTCTTCTAAAAACAGCGTTCACACTTCTAGAGTGGAGGTCTTCACTTCGCTTTCGACCAGCTTTGGGATTTTTCTTTCAGAAGGGAGAGTCCCCTCCGCTAGTGTCCATGCACAAAGCCTTAGAATGCGTTTATGGCGTAAGGGTATGACTTAGTCACTGGCACTCACACACTCTGCAGGCTGTCGTCAAGACCCTTGCTGGTGATGTCAGTTCCCTACGTCCCTATAAAAAGGGAGATGGGGTGGAAAGCCGTGCACTTTGTGTGTTTGATGTCTTCACTGAAACTGTACGCGCGCGACGGAATGTTCAAGTTTTTTTTTAGAACTGTGGAGTCGTTTTTTTATTGTTTTCTTTTTGTGTATTTTTTAGAGATTTATTTTGCTGCTCTTTAGGGCTCCAAGGATGCCCCATGAGGAACTTCTAGCGCGAAACCTGGCTCTCCGCTGGGTTCGATTATATTTTCATCCGCAGTGTACTGAAGCCAATATGTTAATTAAGCAGAGATGGGCGGGGTTTAGAGTTGAGAGTTGAGAGGTTTTTTTAGTTTTTTTTTTTTTAATTTCATTTTATCCTTTCTAAAGATCGGACAGTACGTGACTCATGTTTCTGAGATATGCGACTAGAAATGCTCTACTAGTCTTACATGAACAAGTACCTGTTTCACAGGATCCTTCTCATTTGCTTTCTTTAGCATTTCTAGACTTCAGCTTCATTATTCCGAATGAATCTTTATTCGAGTTGTGTCCGCGAGTGAAGACATGCTAGGATTTTCAGGAGGTCATCATCATAACCCCCGAAGCCGGAGGACCCTGGGATCTGAACACCGCTTCCGCGCGCGGACCCTCTCTCCACTTTTACGGGAGCATATACAGTGGGGCTACTCTCCATCAAATCGCGGTCAGACACGGCACGACTCGCACCTACTCTACAATAAACACAGGCAGTTCAATCGATCTTATTTTGACCACGACAGGATAGCGACAGGGAAGTGGCGACTGAGTGAGAAAAGTAATTATGTATTCATCATACCTAATTTTCTTAGAAACAACCCTTAAAACGCGAAGCCTTAAACGTCAACCGCTCTTCACTTGAATGAATTAGTCTGAATTGATTTGACGACTATTTCGGAGCATTGTATTTTGTCGTATTTGAGTAAGCCATTTTCTATCGAAAACGCTAATTCTTTTTGCATGTGTCTTGGTGTCTAATTCGGACTCTGATTATGTATGTTTACAGGTTATAATACTGTTATTATTCAAGATAGATCGTCTGACTCTGTTCCGACGGTTGTTGGAACTTCCAGGTAGAAAGTGTCCTCCCATAAATATTTGCACATCAAAATGGCTTTTAAAATCATCGATACTCGCGTATCAACCTGTAACTTTTCCAAAAATGTCTAGCTTTTATTGGTCCTATGAAAAAAAGAAAAAAAAAACTACTCCAAATAAAACAAAAAACATTTTTTTTTTTTTTTTTTTTGCGTTGTGAAAAAGCGGCAGCTGTTGGAAGGAGATCGAACGACTGCCGTGTTTGGACGGCTTAATCATAGATGGCGCCACCAATGCCAGCAAGCCGCGCAGTGGGCTCAGGATGGCGGTCTTCGCGCTAACACTCTTTCAAGCGCAAGCTCCAGCTCGTGCTTTCAGATATCCGCAAAAACTCAAAATGACAATTGAATTCTTACAACGCGTTCTCTGCACGGCGAGCGTCACACAATATAGTGATGAATCCAGACGTTAACTGCTGCCTTACAAATCAGTTCTCCTTATCATCAATTGTTTTTTTTTTTTTTTTTTTTTTTTTTTTTGCTTTAGGCATCTCCTTCAGCAGTTCTGTTCGCATCAAGAGACACAAGCAGCGTATGTTCGCCGGCATTGGTGACGGCAAGTGACAGATATGCCCGTGCTCGCTTCGCCCTTTCGGGATTGGTGGCGCAACCTTTGAATAAGCCGGGCAAGCATGGCCGTCGTTTGATCACACTCTTACGGCTCATTCACACTGGAAGCGGATTCGCGTTCGGAAAGCGGTTGCGAACGCGGTTGTATAAAGATCAAGTACAATTTCACGCGCACTTGATGTCATCGAGTGCGCGTCAAATTGTACTGGATCTTTATACTACCGCGTTCTCAACCGCTTTGCGAACACGGATCCGCTTCCAGTATGAATAAGCGGTAACAGTTAGCCGCTCCACGATTAAAAAAAAAACAGTTTTTAATTATAATTCTAGTTGTATTGCGAGTAGCAAATTTAAATATTTCTTCGGTTAATTGGACCAATAAAATACCTATTTGAATAAAGTTATAGCTTGATACGTCAAGTGCGATTTGTAAGAGCCATTTAAGCGTGTAATTTTCTTTTTCTTTTAAGGGGGGGGGGGGGGGGAGCGGGGGGAGATTACGCTGCACACATAGAGACCACTAAAGCAATTTTTGAAGGTACATCTGACAATTGAAACGGGCGTCAGGCACGTCTCAGACACTGTTGACCGAGTTCTAGCCCAAACTCACGTTTGGCCTTCGCACCAATCAATTTAACACATACGGTAATTGGCAATAATTGCGCCTGGAAAGAGGCCTGAGACCTTGCCTCAGACGCCACGAGACGGCGGCAGAAACGTGAACTAAAGTACGCTGCGTGACGTAGAAGCATGATGACAACCGGCTCCTGGTCAGGCGATTGGTTCAAACAAACGACGCGGTCTTGGCTTTGCAGCGGCGTAGGC